TTCTAGATACATGAATGATAGTAGGTGTCACGCGTAAAAAGCGCTTATCTGAAAGAATTTTCCGATATGAAATCGGCAGTTTTGTAGCAATCTATTAAGACTTCCTTTTCACTAACAAAACAATATTTATTAATTATATTTAACATGTGAGAGTTTTAGGCCAAGGAGAGGACATTAAGCTATTTTGATCCCGTAACCCCCTACCTATCTAACTATAGTTTCCTTGTTCCAAATTCGAGTGGAATTTCCGAACGCGACCGACTAACAAATAAATTATAACTCGTATTATTGCTAACTTGCTTTTATAAATTGAGAATATTGGGTTAAACATTTGTAAATACCAAATTTTTGAAAGATTATTTAAATGAACCCATTGCTGTCTGGAAACAAACAAGCAATCAAATTATTCAATTTTATAATAATTGATAATATAAAATAACGTTTAATATTCATTTAAATAACAGACAATACTAAATTTAACTTAATGTTTTCCGCGATGACATTAGTTTTATCGCGTAACCGCAGTGCTGTGTGCTGACTAAGCTTACCATAATAATAGGTTAGTAATCCAATAACAACAACAACAACAGTAATTATTATTATTATAATCATAATGTTATTGTTATTCTTTAATAGATTGGGTTTTTACACCCATTCCTGTAAACAGGAACTACGACCAGGGCCGGTCCTAGGACGACATTATTCTTTAAATCCAGAACATATGTATAATTACTTGTTACGAATTAAAAAACACGTTATGTAGGTTGTGATAACGTTCAAAATTAGAATTAATAATTTCCGTTATGTTTTCCCTGTGTACAAAATATTTAATTAAAACTGTTCTATTTTTAAATTTGCAACAACGCCTCTTTAAATTCCTCGGAAAAATATTATGTGTATTTTTAAATTTGCGGTAAATAAGTATTTTATTAAAAGTTTACATATTGCCAGTTTTATTAAAATAATAATAAACTTTTTTGATATAACATTACAAAACTACACACTCTTTTATTTTGCAAAGTAGGCCGCGCTTTGAAATACTCAATTGAAAATTTTGAGAACTAGACATTGGAACCAGATCAATGCTCAACAGACACGTTTGCTATTAAGATTATCTAGAACAAAATTATTTAAGTGTTATCTTAACAAAATATACTAAGAAAATGTCTTCACATATTCTAAAATAACAATACCATTCTTAGAAGAAGGTAGAGGTGCACCAAAGGGATGTTACCATGTTACTAATATACGTAATACACAATAATACCGAGGCCGACCGATATTGAGACCCGGTGTCTCGAAGTCGCGCAAAACTAATGACTAAACAATTTAGTCGTACAAAGTCTAATAAAATTCCTTTTTTCAATTTCCAGCGAGAAGTCCAGTATTTGCTGCGATGTTTGAACACGAGATGGAAGAACGGAAACGGAATCGAGTGGACATCACAGACGTAGACCACGAGGTGTTACGAGAAATGCTACGTTTTATTTACACGGGCCGCGCACCCAACCTAGACAAGATGGCTGACGATCTCTTAGCAGCCGCTGATAAGGTAAGCTGATGCTATTGGCTGTTTACAATTAAAGCCACCAATCAGGATAGGCCTAGTTGAAAACCGTTATATATAAAATAATGGACTAGACTTGTTCTTAAAAATTGTTGACAACAAACAAATATTAAAAGTTGCCATATTGTTATTAAATGTATCTACTTAATAGTATTTCTTTATTGACGAACTCAATAGAATCATACAAGATAAATAATAACAGAAAAACGGTTAATTGACCCCTAATGGCTACGATCACGCTATAAACATTTATAAAAAACGTTAATTAAAGATAATAAGATAACTTTAGCCACATGCATAGAAATTATACCACAGATTAAAAATGTCTGACTTTAATTTACACGATGATTAAGTGAAGGAGGAAATACATGTAACTAAATGGGTCATTGTTTACAATGTTAAAGATTATTACATTCTGTAGAATGTAGTTGTAACACAGTTCGTTATTAAAACGTTGTATTTTATATTTCCCTTTCGGTGATATTGATACGGAATTGTAATATGTATATGCACTGCACAATTTTTGTGTGTTGTTTTTAAAGGTACTTTTTTCCAGTTAAATGACCTTGTTTTGAAGTCAAAATCTTTCTCATCCACAAGTCATTGAATATCAATATAATTGTTTATAAGTATATGTATTAACGAATGTTTTTATTTCTTTCCAGTATGCACTAGAGCGATTAAAAGTGATGTGCGAAGAAGCGTTATGCCTGAGTCTATCGGTTGAGACGGCCGCGGACACACTAATATTAGCCGACCTGCATTCAGCTGACCAGCTCAAGGCACAAACCATCGATTTTATTAACACGTAAGTACTATTACTTGTGTTTTTGAATGCAAAAAGGGTAAGGTTCACTTCTATGCAATCAAGACGTAAACTCTGAAACAATTAACTAGTAGACGTATTATATAAGTCATGTTAATTTACGAGTACTTGTACTCGACTAGTTTCGAGCCCACCCAGAGTCCATATTCAATTGAACTAGTTATATCTTCAGCATGTTTATAAGTATCAATGTTATTAATGTTTTATTGTTATGTTACGCAGAAGTCACGCGACAGACGTGATGGACACAGCGGGTTGGAAGAACATGATCTCGTCTCACCCGCACCTGATCGCGGAGGCCTTCCGCGCACTGGCCACGCAGCAACAACAGATCCCCCCCATCGGGCCGCCGCGCAAGCGTGTGAAGCAGGCCTAGTGCGGCCCCGCGCCCCGGCCCGCGCCCGCGCCCGCTCCTGCGCCCCCGCGCGCCCCCGCCCCCGCTATACCAAAGACACGCCACCCGGCCCGCGCGCCGCGCCCCTGACGGCCCACGTGTGCGTATCATTACACCGGATCCCACGATCCGGACCTTCGTTTTACTATGATTGATCTCAAGACGATATTCGATCCTAATGTTTTTTTGTCTCTTGCGGTTAATTAGTGTACCGCTTTTAATAATTACTTTTAATGTGTATGTTACGGAGAAATGCTGGACGCTTTTTGCGCGTTGATGTAGTTTTGGATGTAGGCTTCGGGTTAATATTTTATGTATGTCGTTTTTGTGAACATTCTCTTGCAGCTATGTATGTAAATTATTACTATGTATTTAATATGAAACTCGTGTCTAAAACAACTATCCATGTCATATAAATTTATATCATTATATTATTATTATTATGATTGTAACATTCATTGGCTAACTAATTGACATAATCGGTTAATAATTAATAGTGATGTACAGAAAATGTAATAATTCGAATAATCGAATGTAATGATTATTATGCCACAATGCAAATATAATTGAATTGGTAACTCTTGGTGTTTCGTGTTCCCATAGAAATTACAAGAACATTAATGTTAGACATTGTATAATGTAGGCCTTTTGAAAATATTTTGAAGTAGAGTGGTAATTGAATGCAATAAAGTTATGTATGTACCACAGATTTGTACAAAATTGTTGTTTCGATGAACTCAGAATGTACCCCAGCACATAGCTTGACTCAGCTATGAGAGACAATTGTGTGCAAAGCTCTGGTACCATGTAGACGCAGTAGGGGACTCGAGTGATTGTATAAGTCTATTGAAATTGTTGGTATTGTATATAGATGAGCTACGATCCCACCATAAAATATTTCTAAGTACTAACCCTTAAGTGGTATCACTGATGACACCATTAATTTTTTATTATAACTGTAGGATGTTATTCCAATGACATATTGTGATTTTTCTATCATATTTCCATAGGTTTAATAAAGTAAATACACGAACGCTTTTTGTTTGGTTTCATGTGTAGATGATCACTGGAATAATTTAAATTTTAATGTATTATTATTGTTGTTGGTTTCGCTTCATCGATTGTACATTACTTCGTGTCACGTGTGATGTCCAACTCGGCGTCTTGAGTCGCCCCTCATTTTGCTCACTTCATTAACTTTAAAAATTAATATGATTCTAAATTACAAATTGATAAATGTTATTTATTAGTATTATTATCATTTTTTTCATTTTCTATGTCAACTTGACAGATTTTGTAATTATTACTATTATTCTTTTAACTTTGTAAAATGATGGACCTACCCAATAAGTACCTATTGTAATATTTACTCAATAGAAGTATATAATATACCGCGGCCAATAAATAATAATATTTAATACCATTTTATACCCACTTCCCATTTTACTACAGCTGACAGCTGTTCCATGTAATTGAATATTACAAAATGTCAAAAATAACTGTGATTTCGAAATTGTCAGTAAGTTGAGCAAATAAATGAAATGATGATGACTTAACTTTTTATTTCTATTCGTCTGTGGAAATGAACTCTAATGTTTTACGAAACAATATGTTTATTTAGTCAAAACGCCTCAACAATGGTTTGTTATTCAGAAAACAAATTAGGGAAACCTTGAAATTGGAACATCTGTATGACACCATTTTTGTGAGGGGACAATCCCGAAATGACTTCTCCTGCCCAGAGTGAAAGGCAATAGGTGGAGACTTACTGACTAAAATTCTCCGGTTCCTTCTCCTGCTCTAGGTCGAGGCCACGATGCCTTATTGCGCTTGCCCCATAAACCCGTCTGTATCTGCGGGCCACCTTATTTTAGCTACAAAGCTTGTTTATGAAAATGGCGATGCAGGTGATCTACTAACCTAGTTAAGAGTCATTTATGCACTACTTAACGCTCAGTACAATCGTAGTAAGTACAACTGTAACTAGCTGTTATGATTTATGGGCTAGATAAATTACAGAAAGAAATAAGTGAGTAAAGGTGGTGTGTAATTTCTGCCTGGCTCCGCGGGACAGGTTTCTGATTTTTGTCGGTGTTTATCTAAATAGACCACCGTAGACAGTAGACCATTCATCACATCTCTATTGGGTGTCCATGTAACACGTCACATTCAATAGCTGTCAACTTTCAATGTCAAATTATTGAACTGTCAAAGTCAGTCGCTATCGCTCCTGTCGATGTTATTTTTATTTACGTTTACGTAATTTCCCGAGTTGTATTCTTATGATATTATTAGAATATAGTTGAAAAAATGTACACTACCTTTAACACAAACGTATTACTAAGAAATATGAAAACTGTAGCTATGCGGACGGCACAATTATCTTCAAAACCTGCAGCTTCGGAGGTGCTAACTGCTTATTTAATTCAATGCAATGAACCGCCTTGGACTTCTTATTTCGTTAAGGTAATATCAACTAGCCGGCTTCATTTCTACTAGACAATATTCATGTGTTCATCCTTATATTGATCAAAATGACATAGATCTCGATATGATATGATGTATTTGATTTGCCCCTAAACATGAGAGTGTATGTACTCTTAAATATTATTCTCTTAAGGTCTTGATAATTCAAGCAATAGTAAGACTTAAGACCAACCTCTGTTTTGTATAAGTAGATCTATCAAACAAAATGTTGTGAATCTAATATCACCCTTCGAAACCCATTTTTGCGTATTTATTTCTTGAGTAAGTAAAATAAGTTTTTATATTAATTTAAACTAAACATGTAGCAAAACTATATTCCTGGGTGATTTCTTTCAGTACAGTAGTGTCAAGAATGATCAATTTGGAATGTCAAACTTCAATTGGAAAGTAGGGAGCTCAAACTATCAGATACTAAGAACTGGCTGTTTCCCTTACATTAAATATCACTGTTCCAAGAAAAAAGCAGAAGATTTAGATGTATCTGACAAATTCATGAGAGCTATCAAAGTTATTAATTTTGGTGAGTATCTTCCCATAAAAATTGATGATATCAAGCCAGGCTCAAGCCCTTATAGGACAAATATAACTTAAACAATGTCTTCATTAAGAAATAGGTTTTTTACTCATACAATCCTGCATTACTGTAAAGGTATCATATTGTTGTGAAAAACATAGGTAGTATTCCCTCTAAAAATTAAGTGAGAAGAGGTATTTTTGTTAAATATTTGTGTCCTCCTAAGATTATTTTGCTATCAAAATTCAACATCAGCAACTAATGGATGATGGAATATTTTAAATATTTTATTTTATGAAAAAAGAAATAATAACAAACCCTTTATACTTACAGGAATACCATGTTTGCTCTATGGCCTGGCAGCAACTCAATTAATAAGACATAAGGAAATAGTGCACACTTCTAAGGGACCTGTAACTATATACTTCTTATTACCAGAAGATAAAGGATCAAGCTACTGACTTATAATTTATTAAATCCTGGATATAACTAACTGATGACAAATGCTTCTTCAGAGTTGTGGAAAATAAGCAAAATAGTCATACCAAATAAATGGATTATAGCAGCAGCTGTACCTATTTTAATTTTAACTTCATCATTATTGACCAAAAACAGGGACTTCCTACTACTGCTTAGTAGATTTTTTTAAAATTATGAATATAAGAGCAATTTGCAAGCCACGAAAAAACAACGTATTGCTTTCATTTTTTAAGCAGGTGTATACACAGACCTACCTTTTACCCGGCTTGAGTAAACTTTCCTAGTTTCGAGTATTGTTTTACTCGCAAATAATGCATGTTCCTGCCTAAACGGCTAAATAAGCAATCCAGTTCCAAATTCCTAAATACGTAAAACGTAGTTTTTTGTATGGGCTATTTACTCCAACTTGACGAGAGAGTGTCGGACTCTTATTGATTAAAACCACCCTTGCTCGCCGCCTGCAGGCCCGCCCTTACGGTGGCCGGAGATCGTTGCGCACAGAGTGTTCCGAGGAGGATAGTTCACAGAAGGAGGAGATGACTTCCCAGTTCCTCTCGCTCCGCACCATATCGGCGCAAGAGGTCACCGCCGTACCCTTTTGCAGTGCGTGTAGTTATGTGTGTAATGTAAAATCTTGAATGTGCCAATACACTAGTACTCTACTGCCAAATGTAAATTGTTAAATCGGATATCCCTTTCTGCCTCTTTGCAAAGTAGGTAAACTAGCAAAAATGTTCAGAAGTAGCACGGAGTCGTATAGGGTTTGTTTATCTATTGCAAGAGATGTAGTGTCATTTAAAAACGTCCGATAAATGAGAAGCGTTAATGATTACTTTAATAAAATTTTTAATGTTACAAAAATAATCACTTATAATTCAGTGTTCGTGCGTGGTAATTATTTCTTCAAAACCGTTTAAAAAGAGAACATATTTAGTAGAAAATACCTACTGATCTTGTACTTTACTTGCTGTATTGTCGCAGCATATTGAAGTACGAGTATGAAGAGCTCATGCACTGAAAACACAAAGAAAGTTGTTTTAGGTAAAGCTATAAAAGTATTAAAACTAGGCTTTGGGTACAGCGATGGCTGTATGTGGCTCATGCCCTCTAAGATTCTAAGACGGGACACATTAGATACCTACTTACTTATATGCATTTGACAAGGTTACTCTACCAGTTTCAAGCCAAGCTGAGAGCCCATAAACATGAGCTTCGTGTGGGACAATCGACGCAGTGAGCGTCGTAGTAGTCACAACCTAGCACGAGTATTTTCATATCTTCAATCACGACAACTAAGGTTTGTTTGGAGTCGTGGGCAACCTAGATCACAAAGTACTCTTACTAGGCGTGAGAGTGTACTTTGTGATCGAAACGTTTGTGATGGTGATCGGTGTTCTGATTGGCCTGCTCCAAGTTATCCAACCAATAAGAGAAACATGGCAATTTCGATCGCGTTCACTTATTTAACTCACCAGACAATTTGCTATCGATTGTTAAAACATAATCGATCATCATTAGTTTTCAGGTCCTTACAATTGAATAGGAATCAACAAGAAAGTAAGAACGGTGTGTATTTTTGAAATCTACCGTTTTCGAATGTAACAGTACCTAAGTTAAACTTTAGATTGACCGAAAACTGAAGAAGTAAACTTGTATGAGCTAAAAATGAACGCGATAAAAAAACACAAAAGTTTGTAATGTGAAGTGAAAACATAATTTTTTGGTTTTAAAAACAATACTTAAAAAATAGGTATAGCGGCCAAATTCCAAGATAATGAGCACACTTAGAACCTCTGTTAGACTTCAACTAATGATAGATAACTTCAGCTGTGTGAGAGCCATGCTTCGCCACGAATGAAATGATACCACGGCCTCACAGAAAAAGCGTGAAGCAACACTAAGTGGTACGTTGTTTTTCGCCGTGTGAGTGAGGCTACCGGAGGCCCAATTCTTCCTCCGCCCCCCATCCCCAATTTTCTCAACCCCTACTAACCCACAAGAGGCCGGCAATGCACTTGTAGTAACTTCGTTAGTACTACGAGTGTCTATGAGTAGCGCTGATTGGTTACCATTAGTTAATACGACTTTTCTTATCCATCTGCTTATTTCTAAAGTGGGTATTATTTTTGTTTACGTTGTACCACGCTGCGATTTTTGCCTGTATCTCGTGGGCCGATACGTTTACAAACGTACAAATTTTGTGAATCACAAGTTTCATTACGGGCGTAAATCGAACTAGCGATTTTAGCTCCGCAGCTATAATGAGACGTTCGAGAGACGCCACGGCGTGCTTACACGAAGTTTCGAGAGGTTGGTACCTACAAACCAACCAGAGAACACGATGAAGTATATGGTGGCGGTGTGCCCTGCTTGGGATGAGCACCGCCGTGTCCTAAGAGCGCGTGCCCCTCGGGCCCCAGCCGAAGCAGGAGGCGTCAGAAGCCACATTTGTTGGCTCGGGACTGATGGTCTGGTCTGGCGGCGAGCTACCCTTGCTCGCCACCCGCCCAACCAAACAGGAGTGTACGGTGCGTAGCTTATTATGTATTTTTCTTAAATTATACCTAAAAAACAATAGTACCTACCTACCTATTGGCGATGCAAAGATTCAAACTAGCGACTCTAGTGTGAAAATTGTGAAGCTGTCTAAGAACGGCACTTTGACAGATTTCTTAACAATTAAATTAACGTCAGGGAAAAATAAATTATTAATATAAATCTGATTTAAGTAGCATTTTGCTGTTTAAGGGCTGATTTTTCAATAAGCTGATAAATGTTATCTGATGAATAAAATTGTTGCTCTCAGTCTTATACAAACATTCTGACGCGACAGCATCGTTATTATTACAAAGGTAACTTTTATCTAACCATTGAAAAATCAGCCCTAAGACAATAATTATGCTGTCAATAGTCGATGTTTCTAAAAGTTCTATTGAATGAATACCCGTAAAAGTGAATAAATACATAATATCACTACTGAGTAAATCTGAGAGGGTTACTTGCTTTAAAGCTTATCTATCCTCTTTTCACATGGGAAGAAATTTTGAGTGCTCTTTTCTAATGGTACTTCATTATCGGAGCTTATCTGAGGAATATTCTGAGACGGTGTGACATAAGGAAAACTTGTGCCTTTTAGAATCTGGAACAATAACCATAATCTCGTTATATGACGAGAAACTATCCTTAGTGTAAACTAAATGAATAAATAACTTATGAAATACATATAAATATAATTCATGTAAAATAAAATAATTAAAACATAATAATACTTTCTGTTTGAAAAAAAGTTTAATGCTTGAAAATGATGAGAACTAGCTCTCATTGATGGTGAAATTGGCTTGCCAATTCTTAAAGCAGTCTTCCATTTTTTCTTCAGAATTTTGTCTTTTGGGAATAAATGAAAACTTATCGTATCTCCGCAAGTACTACATTACAACAATATTTCGTATATAATGGTGATCTATCTGAATAATCTAACATAACTTCAACAAATAAACAAACAAAGTGTTATTCTTAGACAGTTTCTAAATTTCGCCGCTAGAGGCGTGCGGATAATCTTTGCATCGCCAATCAGTACATAGTTTCTTTTTCTTGATTTCAGTTAAGTCAAAAAAGTTCAAGACAAGTTAAATTGTCCTTCTCAAAAAATCTGCTGATTATGAACTAAGTCATTCAGAGATTCATTATTATGAGTCTAGACTCTAGACTATCTATCATAGAACCACAGTCTCTAGACTCTAGAGGAATTGTAATTAACTCTATGTTTTGGTACATGGAAAGTTCATTTAAATTGTATAATATTGGTACTTAAATAACTTTTTTTTCAATTTGTATCAGCAGTTTATTACATAGAAGAGAAATATTGGTTAGTGGTATTTTTTATGGTGATTGGTGCAATAAAAAAATAAAAATTAACTATTCTGAGTACTAATCCGAAGAATTTGAAATCAAACGGGGATATTATAATAAAAGGAAAAATTACTAGAAATCCAGAACAGAAATGAAGAAATTATTTCCATATTGCTTAATATTAATCAATGTTTTTTAAAATAATATTTTTCTTAAATAACATTACACAGAACACATACTACAAAAATACGGAATATACATATTTCAATATAAAACATGTGTAGTGTACTAAATATTCTATTACATACATAAAATATTCAATTTCAACTGACCTGGAATAGCACATTGCACCAATTAAAATACTACAAAGAATTAAAATTATTAATCAATAAAAATTTAATAAGAAAAATATTTAGAACATTATTTATTTTCATAACAATTCTGTATTATGTACTAGAAGCAAATGAACAAATACATCTTACAACTAACTTAAACAATACTTATCTACAACTCTATCTAATATGTCTAATGCTCTTGAAGCTAGCCTCTGCCATGCCCTTTGATTCTGAAGCTCCATCTCCCTAATCCTCATTTCATCTGTTCTTGAACGAATATTATCTGTTCTTGAATTAACATTATCTGTTCTTGAATTAACATTATCTGTTCTAGAATTAATATTTTCTGTGTTTGATATAAGATTATCTGTTCTTGAATTAACATTATCTGTTCTAGAATTAATATTTTCTGTGTTTGATATAAGATTATCTGTTCTTGAATTAATATTATCTGTCCTCGAATCAATATTATCTGGAGTTTCTTCACTTAAGAATCCTTTTGGAGCTTCCTCAGTAAAGACAAATTCTCGTTTAATTTCTGTTTGCACTGGCCTAATTATTTTTCTGTGTGTGATCATCCAACTACTTATACCCATCAGTGCTAGTACCCGTTTCTCTAAATTCGTCAATTTGGCATTGACCACAGGACCAGCATTTGTCCCAGTAGCTGCTCTATGTATACGAGCAGCCTTCCTTTTAGTGTTGTTTTTGTAATCACTCCATACCTTAAATATTGAAAATCAGTGTTTAATATAATAGCTAACATAACAAGATTATTAAAAAAGAGATGATCAAATTTCTGACAAACCTTCTTCCATTTCAGTGTAGATTTTTTATCACCGCTTTCGTCACTGTTTAATATCTCTGTCAATTTTACCCAACATTTCATATTGAATATTCTACCTCTCGCATCACGGGCTGGTCTATTAAGGTCACCATGTCTAAAACGAATAAACTTAGATTTAAAACTTATACACACGATAATTATGGACTACTTTCACACTTATAAATTGTTTGATTAATTCATTATTATTTCAACACCAAAATAACCTTCGATCACTTACTCCTCCATGAATGTCACCATTTTGTGAAATTGAGACGTACTAGTTTTCATGTTTGTTTACACTATCCTAACTGTATTAAGTAGTATTAACTTTATAGACAAGCAACTTTTATTCACTTCGTTTAAACTTAATAACCTCAAGCTTAAGCTTAACGCCAAACGTCAAAACATAAACAAGTGAAGTGTAGGTAAGCACCAATTTTAAAAGGCAGTTTCATAAAATAGCCTCAATTCTCTAAAGACTACTCTGAATTTAGTTGGTTTATACTTTATATCGCAACGCTAACGTCATACCAACCTGACAAAAATAAGAAACGCTGTAAACGCGTATCGACTAACGACTAACGAGTGGTTAGAATCGATCTGTAGTATCGACACGCGTTAACTTGGTTGTGATAAAATCGATTTTTGATGTTAGCTTGTTTAACGTGATATTAGTCATTTGATTCGATAAATTTTGTGTAAATTGTAAGTCGCACTAGGCAGTCAGTTACGTGAGAAAACTATAACCTGAATAAATGTAAAGACTAATGTTGGTTTACAAACAAACAAAAGTATTTTAAAGATATGTAGTATGATTGAATGTTTTATATAACTTAAACATTATTACTATAATTCAAGTTATAGTAAAAAAATCTTAGCAGACTGATCACTCAATGGTTAGTAATCGTATTATCAAAGGAGTCACTACAAGTGCGTTGCCGATTTTTTGTGGGTTATAAATAAGGGATATAAGGAAGGGAGATTTGTCGATTAATAATGAGGGGGGCAGGAGTATAAAGATTTTTTGTGAGCCCGTAGTATCACTCCAGACTTCTTTATTTAATTCAATCTTATTATCGATAATAATGAAAATGATAGTCAATTTGATACAATCGTTGTGCTCTAATATACATGTCAAGGACTTATAGTTATTATTATTTTTCATATTTACATGATCAATTATAAATAAAATAAAAATTCAATGACCAATTTTGTAAATTTTCTGCCACGTTTTGCACCATTCATGATAATTCTCAGGATGCTAGCATTTCTTTGGGCGTACCACAGGGCTCAATATTAGGTCCTTTTCTCTTTTTGGTCTACATTAATGACATACCCCATTTATTTCAACGTGAACTTTGACTTGATTGAAAGAATCAAGACTTGAATGGTGTACGAATGTGAAATAAAACTGTTACTGTTCGCACACAATGGAATCATCTTGATAATATAACAAAGAATTGAAAAGTGAAACTGAATGAAAAAGTGGAGTCTTTTGCTCGTTCTTCTCCATTGGAACGAGCAATTAGCTTTACTAAGGGGACTGTTTGATGTCAAAAAGTGCCCGTAAGAATTTAATTGTAATAACCACAAGGAAGTAGACGATACAATCTTCAAAATACTTACCGAGGAGAAGGTCTCCAGTTGTATCTGTGGTAGCCCGGTGTACTTGATGGTGACAGGCTGCTGTGCTCGCAAGATGATGATGACGATGTCCGTGCGAATCATCAGACCAAGAGGCGTCTCGTGCCAGCCACATGTCCAGCCCGCGTCACCAACCTCAAATGCCTTGAACAGGGAGTTTAGTGCTCTTGTCACAAATTAAAGGTATATTATTAGACGAAATAGAGGGCTGGAAAAGCAGATATCTTACCGTATAAGGGTTTGGATAAAATATGTTTATGATTGGTCCTTTCGATTATTTTAATATTTTATAAATTTGATTAGATTTCAATAGAGAAGTACGAGCGAATATTATCATTTTGGTACATCATCACTTGTTCGTACCTACTAATAACTTACCAAACAAACAATACACCACATCTCTCTGGATCTAGTTTGTCCAAAAGTAATTCCGTTACCCGCATTACGGGTTAAGTTATCGCATTCTGACTTAAGCTCATAATTAAATTATTCTAAGATAACTATGCACAAAGCCAGTTTGCAAACATACATATATTTTTACTAAAACAATAATTACCCTACCTAAATGTCAATACCGCATTCTTATATTATTATTTTTGTTTTGATGTAGTCAAGAAAGGTAAACTGCGTCCTTTTGACCCGAATGACTCAACCAACTCAACAATTTAATTGTTACCCATAATTGTACCCACTGGAGGGAGTGGACGGGAAGGGGATCTAAGGGGGAGATTGCACCAGCACATGAAACGGAACACGGGTCCACTCAATAAATCAACCGATGCCCCCAAGCCAATGCTGTTGTGCTGTTGGTATTTGTTGCATGATGTGAATAAATAGAAAAGTATTGTTACATAAGAGCAACTTAGAAAACGTCTGTATTGTTTAGGACCTCTAGATTTACGAGATGTTACGAGATTCGAAAACTACTCCTAATCCTAAACATAACATGTCCATGTTTGTATACTGTATAATAAAAAAAAATCTTAAATTTCATAATATCATTAGAATCATTACAGACTAGGGTCACGCTATTCATTTAATGCAAAACGACTGCACTGTTAACGCCGTGGCTCAATAACCAGCTGCCTAGTAACTTATCGCGGGTTTGTTCCGGGCGGGTGTGATGAGTATGTGAAATCATATGTTTATAAAACCGCCCACGAAACAGGAGAAAGTCCTAGCATAAAGCAATGTTTTTTAAAAACAACAATTATATATTCTCCTTTTTGTCTCTTTATACAACATTCGTTTACATTTCGATAGACAACATCCCAGCTCCAATCTGCCCCTTAATTATGTAACAAACCGAAGGAGAATAGGTACTTTCGAGTACAAACCTAAATGGCGTAAGTTATCAGCTATTTGAGATCTGAAAGTTTAGTTGGCTTGCGCAGGAATAATGGCAGGTGTGTTATGTCTTAATACTTTTACTAAGCTATTTCGTAGTCATCTAGCTTGAAGGTACCTTTGCCTTCCTTAAAATTTAAGGAACAAATGGATCCGGAAAATAGTTTAGGCAATGCATTATAAAGGTGTGATAAAGTGTTATTAATAAAGTCAGTTAACAAAGGACCGGTAGGTACCCGGTGGAATGTAACCATTGTTACACACTATAAAAAAGTTCCAATGAATATTTCCCAAGTTAAATTCGCCAAATATGCATAATCCTAAGCCTGATTATTTATCATCATCATCACCATCAGCTGGAAGAGGTATTAAACACACTGTTAAACAAGGGACTCCTCTTTGGTCCACCACGTCGAAAAACAACTTGCCACTTGCTTCCATTGGCTCCCTGCGTTTCCGACGATGTCGTCAGTCCACCTAGCGGAAGGCCTGGCCCACGCTAAGTTTCTCCGTCCGTGGTCGCTACTCGATTACTTTCCTGGCCCGTCATTCCGACCTTCGAGTGACATGTACTGTGTATGTGACGAGCCATGTGGGTACTATGATTTTTACATTTCTACATTTTGGATTTTGTCGCGTAAAGAGACCTCGAGCATAGCCTGGTCCATCGCGCGCTTACCGACTCTGATTAGGTAGATTAACTAAATACTTAAAATTTGACTAGTCATCCCATATCTCCTCATAATCCAAAGGTTAGCTGCTGATATTAAGTCCACCGACTTATCTATTTGCAACAAACTGACTCGTCAATTTCACTCAGAGACACAACTTACCTAACATCTAATTTTCACCAGACATAGAGTGGAGTGGATTATCCACGTTATTGCCAAAATGAATTGATAGCATATTTATTGTAACTAGGGAATAGCAAAGCTCAAGTCCTATTGTTTGTCAGTTACATTCGACCTGCAAGACAATGGGGGCTACTGTTTTTAGGGTTTTTAGTCAATGGTAAAAAAGGGAAACCTTATGGATTCGTTCATCGGCATGTCAAAGCTTCTTTTGGTCCAAAACTGCATAAATTACCTCTATACTATTGAAAATACTACTGAACCACTAAACCAGCAAGAGAAAACATGTGTCGAACCACTATAGCTGAAAAAAATTGAACGTCCATAGCTAATTTCCTATTGGACTAAAAGACAAAAAGTCTAAACCGCCGCCAACTAGTGAGCAAAAAAAAACAGTTGCTCTAATTTTAAACGCAGAACACGCAATAAGTACCAGTCTTTACATACGTACCTAAATACAGATAGATGCCACTTTACGATCTTTTTGATCCTCGCATTCAATATGCGTTGTGTTTCCATTCTGCGGGAGTCACTCCGTGGCAGTAATGCTACAGATTCCTCGAGACCATCAAATATCACACTGAAGTCTATAATTATCATGTCCATAATCATGTAATAATGCAGCAAGATGTGGAACAATGTGTACACGTAAACTGAAAAGATAAAATAATTTAGTCATAAAATATTTAGCCCCGAAATTTTATATACACACTAGCTACTCTCGCGCGGTTTTACCCGCTGCTCAGCTTCATTTGATCGTAGCGTGATGTTTTATATCCTATAGTACTCAGAAACATTGTATCTATCCTGAAAGAATTTTGGAAATCCGACCAGTGGTTCCAAAGATTACCCCCTACATACAAACTTACAAATTTTACCTCTTTATAATATTAGTATAGATAGTATAGATTCAATCCTGAGATTGGTGGCAGTCAAATGCCTTGATGATACCTCAGAGGTAAAGGCACCTGTTCCCTGGGTACTATTGTGGCTTTTTCTAAATTACGTAGGTATACTTTTTGAGTTTATTGTGATACAACCGTGGATACAACCAACATGACTCACCGATGGGGAACGAAAACTTAGTGAGAAAAACCGGACTTTGGAATCGGTCAACGCCTTATGCGTGATACAAAAGGCTCTCGTAAGGGCTCTCGTAAGGGTCATTAGTAAGCGCTTACAAGCTGCAGATAAGTCAGTCACCTGATGGTAAATGATATTGTAATGTAACCAATTGCCGAGCCATATTAAGTCTCGATTTTAAAGCCCTAGTTATTATTTCTTCAGAAAAAAAGTTTGAAACCACGCAACCTTAAAGGCAGTCAAATATTGAAATTAATAATTTGATAATTAATCTAACGAGTAAAATACTTATGGGGAAAAAACATAAGTATTTTACTCGACTTTTAAGCACTACAGTCCAATTTACGCTTGCTTAGGTATCTGATCTTTGGTATTGTTTATTAAATTTGGGTCCTATCTGAGCTGGAAAGAGTTATTTTCAATACCAATATACGACTGATGTAATCCCAATTGGAATATTCCGCATTACGTAAAAGTTATTAGTAATGTAATGCTGACAACGCCGTGTGCAGTTGCTAAAACAAATTCGGCTATCGGATTATTACGTTCAAGATAGCTTAGTTTTTGTCCCGATTTCACTCGCATCGATATGTTTTACGTTCAGTTTCTAAATTATAAGCGCTTTTTTATAATGTCTCTGATTATTTCTTTTATTATGAGCCTATATTTCAGACTTTGCGAAGTGATAGAGAGCGCAGCTCTGAGCCAAGTGGCATAAACGGAATCAATAGGTATATGGGATAAATTATGTGAAAAACTTTGACAACCCCGGATGCAAAGTTTAAAAGTTGCTAGTGTGTTTGTTTATTCCGATTACGTTCATCATTTTCATTATCAGGCTACGGTTATTATTTTTATGTTACCAGTAGTTAATAATGTGAAACCTTCATCGTCATCACCAGTCTACATACAAGTGTTCACTGCTAAGCAAAGGCTTCTTCTCGCTCGAAGAAAGTTTGAGTAATAATCTCCCCCTTGCTCAAGGCAGATTAGCTATTTGACTTTACTTTTAATTAAAAATTGTAATTCCAAATTAAGCTATGACTTTTCCAAGACTGTTCAAGTCAGGGATGTTGAAAAAAATTAAAAGGACTTAGAAAAAGGCGCATTGGTACTAGCCAAATGCTTGAATTGCATGAAAAGCAGGCGATTACCTAATAGCATTACAAACATGAAAACTTACCACAAAAAGTTTGAACAAAACAAAAACACAACGTAGACTCGATTAATAGGAATATTTCGTAGTTAGGTGTTCGATAAGGATCATCATGAGGGAGCCACATGGGGAACTGGAGAGGTCTGGTGGTGTTTTCATCCAGGGTAGCGAACAGGCTTTGGTAAATCAATCCGACGAGAGGAAATACCACGTACAAGCCACCTACAAAACTGACGAAGCCAAACCATGCGTAACATAGCTGCCAAATTAGCAGCTGGCCTTCCAAAAACGGTTTCCTGCAAAGATTTTACAATTGTTAAACAACGTACACAATTCATCATTATTATCTACATCGAGTATCACCACACGTGTCGCTGTATTATCTAAGGCAGTTTCTAATAATATTTTTATTTGACTCGACTTCTATGAACCCTTTGAAGGATTACAGATTGGGGGCATTTATCAATATATTACGTTATCTCCTATTAATGCTAAAAAACTAAACAAATTTTGTTAATTGTCATAACAAAGTATGCTATTGTGTATAATTAAGATATTCAACCAACGCAATTTCAACTCCTATTTAATACTGTTCACTATTATACTCGTTTAGAACTTTCATTATTCGCAAGACAATATAATTGGTAGGATTTTATTGTCAACTGTTCGTGAAGCGTGAGTATTTCACGTATGAAGTAAACGTAAACAAGATAGCACTTACTAAGGTAACTTGGTAATTCTCTTTTTGAAAATTCAACAAAAATATAAGCCATTGAAATACGCAATTGGTTCAAGTAGAAAAACTCAGATCTATTGACCCGAAATCATGGGAAGCGACAAAATGTTTAAAGCTTTTGAGCAAGTCTGAAGCAATTATTCACTCACCTGTACATGGGTCCCAGGCTACAAACATAGATAAATTCTTCATTCATTTTGACGACGATATCGTAAATCTTGTTTGT